AACCCTTCAACCCCTAAACCCTAAACCCCTAAACCCCTAAACCCCTAAACCCCTAAACCCCTAAACCCCTAACCCCTAAACCCCAAACAAACCCTAGGCCCTAAACCCCAAACCTCTGTTTGGCCCTTAGATGCCTCTCCAGCGCGACGCCAGGCGGCCGCAGCGGCAGCGCCAGCAGCTGAGGCTCCGGCTGCAGCACCGAAGGCGGCGCCAAAGGCGGCCAGGGGCTGAGGGTTTGGGTTTTAGGGTTTGGGGTTTGGGATTTGGGGTTTAGGGTTTATAGTATAGGGTTTAGGGTATGAGGGTATTAGCGGATCAGGGTGTCGGGTTTCGGGGACCAGGTGGGGGGAGTTTCGCGTATGGCATACAGGGTGAAGGAAGGGTTGGCAGTGAGGGTTCCCGGCATGAGCCACCAAGCGTTTGGGTTTTGCGGGGAGGGGATAAGGATGTTGCAGAGCTTCCTGGCCGCAACTCGCCTGAACCCTATAAACCCCATGCACATCTGGGGTTCACGATATTTGGGGTACCACAAACCCTAAACCATGAACCCTACATGGCAAGCCCTAAGTATGAGAACGCAGGCCGCCCCCGCCCCGAAAGCGGCTGCACCGGCTGCCTCGGTCGGGGTCCTGATGGGCACGATGTGCACAGCGGGTTAGGGTTTCCGGATCTTTGGGGTTCAAGTTTTTAGTCGTTATGATGGGTTCTGAGGTTTAGTGTGTGAGTTTGGGTCTTTGGGTTTGGAACTTTAGGGGGTGCGGCCTTGGGGATTTTTTTTGGGTTTTGGAATCATGTGCGGCAGGCCACCAGCGCCCCCTCCTCGCCGGAAAGAGGTGAGAGGAGGGAGAAGATGACACGCCGCTCGGCCCAAGTGTTGGATTGGCGTTGGGGTTTGGGGGTGGATGTTTGGAATTGGGGGCTTGAGTTGCGTTTCCACTGGTGTCCACGTCTTAGTTTCCTTGGCAGTCTCCACAGCGAGCCTTCTAAAGTTCGTTACGGTAACAATGGGTTTTGCAAAGAACAAACTGAACATGCTTCTCAAATGATTTGCTCTCTCTGGCAGTCCATGCCCAATCCTGGTGTCTGCTAGACTCCTGGACAGCCATTCGATGTCTAGTTGCTCGAAGAGCTGTATAGGACTGGAATACCAAAGGACTTCTTGTCACCGGTACTGCAGCAGACAGCCCTGTTATGGCCTATGGTCGTCTCGCTGACTGCCCGAGGAATGCGCCAAGCCATCGCGCGAAATCTCAAAGAGTCACAAAACACGCTTGTGCCTGGGCATCAAGATACATGGGTTTCGGGTTGAGGGCTTGTGGTGTTTCAGGCTTCGTGCCCGGGTCAGCTGCAAGAAACATGGGGCTGCAGCTACAAACCAACGATGGAGCTACCACCCCTTAAGCCCCGAAGCCCGGTGTTGCCCTCAGGGCCTACATCCCTAAACCCTAAACCCTAAACCCTAAACCCTAAACCCCAAACCCTAAACCCTAAACCCTAAACCCTAAACCCTAAACCCCTAAACCCTAAACCCTAAGCCCTAAGCCCTAAACCCTAAACCCTAAACGGTTTCGTGTTGAAGTCGGCTGTTGGGTGGCCCCGGTGGCTCCCCCGAAGCCTTCAACCCAAAGTTCCTCAACACGCAGCTCAAGCACCCATCCGGAGCAAATGCGGGACTGTGTGTGGGTGGCCCCTAAACCCTAAACCCTAAACCCTAAACCCTAAACCCTAAACCCTAAACCCTAAACCCTAAACCCTAAACCCTAAACCCTAAACCCTAAACCCTAAACCCTAAACCCTAAACCCTAAACCCTAAACCCTAACCCCTAAACCCTAAACCCTAAACCCTAAACCCTAAACCCTAAACCCTAAACCCTAAACCCTAAACCCTAAACCCTAAACCCTAAACCCTAAACCCTAAACCCTAAACCCTAAACCCTAAACCCTAAAACCCTAAACCCTAAACCCTAAACCCTAAACCCTAAACCCTAAACCCTAAACCCTAAACCCTAAACCCTAAACCCTAAACCCTAAACCCTAAACCCTAAACCCTAAAAACCCTAAAACCCTAAACCCTAACCCTAAACCCTAAACCCTAAACCCATAAACCCATAAACCCTAAACCCTAAACCCTAAACCCTAAACCCTAAACCCTAAACCCTAAACCCTAAACCCTAAACCCTAAACCCTAAACCCTAAACCCTAAACCCTAAACCCTAAACCCTAAACCCTAGACCCTAAACCCTAAACCCTAAACCCTGCTTGTGAGCCAGTCTGATCACCACAAGAAGCACGCCTGGGTTCAGGGTCACATCAGTCCCGCGCCCGCAAGGTGAAAGCCGTCTTTTCATTCCCGTATGTGCCACCCCAAGTCCCTGAACCAAAACATTGGTTTTGGGGGTTTAGGGATTAGGGCTTGCGGTTTAGGGTTTAGGGTTTAGGGTTAGGGTTTAGGGTTTAGGGTTTAGGGTTTAGGGTTTAGGGTTTAGGGTTTAGGGTTTAGGGTTTAGGGTTTAGGGTTTAGGGTTTAGGGTTTAGGGTTTAGGGTTTAGAGCGCTGCACTGCAGGCCATGCTGACCACATTCCAGGAGGTGGACATGTCCGGGCTAATCAAGATGCGCAAGGACTTGCCCCCGCGGGGGGTTCCACGTTGCTTCATGCACTGCTATCTTGGCTCTCTGGCTTTGGAAATGCAAATCCAAACCCTAAACCCAAAACCCCAAACCCCAAGCCCTAAACCCTGAACCCAGCCTCAAAATCCCAGAGATCCCAAAGCCGGAGCCCTCAACCAGCTGGCATCAGGAGTACAAAGACATCTTCCAGTCCTCCCATGGCGCAAAGCTAGGCTTCCAGTCTCCTTTCTTCCTGGTCTGGGCCTCACTTCCCGAGGGGTGCTGAGGGTCTATTCAGGGTTTAGGGTTTAGGGTTTAGGGTTTAGGGTTTAGGGAGGGTTCAGGGTTTAGGGTTTACTCAAGGTTTAAGGTTCGGTGGTGTGTTCCGCGGCGTGCACTCGCAAGGTTTCGGAAGTTGGGGCACCTGGGTCTGCAGCTCGGGCGTTTGTGAGAAGCGGTTTAGGGTTTAGGTTTGGGGTTTCGGGTTTAGGGTTTTTGGGCTTTAGGATTTAAAGGGCTCAAGCTTGAACGTTCTAGGGAAAATTTCGCCCAGAAGCCCTACTGGAGCCCCACCTCCGCTCGTCTCGCGCTTGGCGGGCTCTGCTCGTTCGACTCCGTCTTCGGGCGACGCCCGCTCTGGGTGGGGCTCGTCCGACAAGGGCTCAGGCCCTATAAGGCTAATTTAAGAGGGGGGGTGGGTGTAGGGCGCTTGTGGATGTTTCTCTCCTTCATTCAATACCTGAAACCCGCAACATGCAAGCGGGTCGCCCTCCCCGCTCCAGATTCGGACAATCAACCCTGAGCCTAAACACCCCGAGCTATAGAACCCTGTGACCCCTAAACTTCCGCCCTCGGGGCATCGTGAACCCTCTATACCTAAACCCGAAGGTTCCCCCACCACAAGCCTAAAAAACCCTAAGCCCCAAGCCCCCTAACGAAGCACTAAGCCCTTAAGATTTCAGAAAGGCACGCTGTGGTGCCCCCCACGTTTTCGCATGTCTCTTTTCGTGCAGTTGGAGTACACGTGCCTTCTTGCATCTCGGTGTTGTTTTTGTTCTTGCTCCTTGATGCTTCGTGTCGGAAACCACTCTCCAAGAATTCCGGGTCAGGCCAGCGCCCATGCCCTGAAGCAGATACCAGCCTTGAACCTGGGCTGGCAAAAGGGTTTAGGGTTTACAGCTTAGGGGTGAGGGTGTAATCAGTAGCTTTTAGGCTTCAGGGTGTAGGGTTGGGCTGTTAGGGTCTAGGTTTTGGCTTTAGGGTTGTGTTGCAGGGTGTAGTTGCAAGCGGCCATGTTGGGCATCTCGGATGTTCGGGCTTATGGACATGCATGCAAACAGCTTTTCGTCTTTTTGGGTTGTGGGGGTTAGGGGGCGGTGGGACTTGTGTCTTTCGTGTTTCTTTTGGCTGGCTCTTCTTCTTGCGGGTTTTTTTGTTTTGGGAGGCGGGGGGGGGGGGGGGGGGGGGGGGGACGGGTTTGGTTTGTGGCTTCAGGTGTTAGGGCTCGGGTTTAGATGACTGGTCCCATCCGCTCTGCCCCGAAGGTCCTAAGACCTAAACCCCAGATTCCTAAACCCTAAACTTTAAACCCTAAAGCCTAAACCCTAACCCTAAACCCCAGAACCCTGAAGCCCGAAGCCGAAAGCTGGAGCAGCGGAGGAATGCCTACATTGACAATGCGCCGGGTGCCCAGGAGGACTCTGAGGTTTCGGAAGAGTTTAGGGTTTGGGATTTGGGGTTTAGGATTTAGGGTTTAGGGCTTAGGATGGAGGAGCCTCACGTGAGGCCTGAAGCGTTCTTTGCGTAGTGGGAGACATTCTTGAAGACATAGGCGCTGCAAGCCTTCGCCGATGCGACGCACCCGCATGTTACCTGCCCAGCACCCTGCGGAGCTGCGGAAGGACACTTCTGGCCCCTGAGCTCCTGAATCTGCTCCCCTAAGCCCGAAAACACCAACAACCCTCAAAGAACCTAAGGCCCTAAACCCTAAACCCTGAACCCTAAACCCTAAACCCTAAAAGACCAAACGCCCCCCCCCCCCCCCCCCCACACCAAGGACAAATGAGGTGGTCTTCCGAGACTACATCAATATCGGTTTTGCAGCTGCAACCCCCAAGGCCAGGTGTAGGGTTTAGGGTTTAGGGTTTAGGGTTTAGGGTTTAGGGTTTAGGGTTTAGGGTTTAGGGTTTAGGGTGGTTTGGGGTTTGGGGTTTGGGCATGTATTGTGGTTGGCAGGCTTTTGGAAGTTTGTAGGGTTTAGGGGTTTGGGGTGTTTTGTGCTTTTGCGGGTTAGGCAGTTTGGGGTTTAGGGACCTGAAGGCGAGCCCCCAAAGCAAAGACCTTAACCCTCAATCCCTGCACCCCACAACCGGCCCCATGAACCCTAAAAACCCTGCAATTTGGCAAACCTCATAAACCTTCTGAACCCTGTATAAACCCTGAACCCTGAACCCTAAACCCTAGTCCCTATATGGCCCCTATGGTCCCTGTAGTCCCTATAGTCGCTGTAGTCCCTGTAGTCCCTGTAGCCCCTGTAGTCCTGCAATCCTCAATCCCACCCTCACGACGCAGCCTGGTGCAGGGGCTTGTAACACCAGTGATCAAGAACATGGAGACCAAGAACTTGGCGGAGGTAGGGTTTATAGGGTTTACAGTGTTTTTTGTTGAGAGTTTATTATAGGGTTTAAATGGTGTACAGGGTTTTTAGGGTTTATAGGTGAAAGGGTTTAAAGGGTTTCAAGGGTGTATAGGATTTATGGGGTTTACAGGGTTTGTCGGGTGTGTAGGGTTAATAAGGTTTTTTGGGTTTGTCGGCTTTATAGGGTTTATAGGGTGTGCAGGGTTTGCAGGGTTTATAGGTGCAGGTGTGTGGGGGTGTGGTGGGGGGGGGGGGGGGGGGGGGGGGGGGGGGTTTTTTTTGGGTTGCTTATCAAGCGTGCCTTTGGCTTCCCCTTGTCGGTGGGGCAGTGCACACCGAACCTTAAACCCTAAACCTTCAAGCCTATAAAGCCTACAGACAAAAGGCACCCAGCCTCCCAAACCTTAAGCCCTAAGCCCCAAGCCATAAACCCTCAGCCCTCAACCCTCAACCCTCAACCCTTAACCCTCAACCCTCAACCCTCAACCCTAAACCCTCTCAACCCTCAACCCTCAACCCTCAACCCTAAACCCCCTAAACCCTCAACCCTCAACCCTAAACCCCCTAAACCCTAACCTCCCAAGCCCCCAAACCAGGTCGAGAGTGAGTTTGCCCGATTTGCTGGTCTTGCCAAGCAGGACAAGCTCAGCCGCATCCCAAGGGGCCATTTGCTAGAGGCTTCGTGGGTTTGGGGTTTTAGGGCCTTGGGTTTAGGGTTCTTGGGTTTTTGGGTTTGGGGTTGTGGGGTGCATTTTTTTTGGAAGCTTAGGGTTTCAGAACGATGTACAAGCTAGGGTCGTGGGGTTGTAGAAGGCTCATGTTTAAGGTAGCGACCCTAAACGCCACCTTTGGATGGGTGCTGACCATCTGGGATTGTTGGACCAAGGTATGGACGACATCACCGGAAACACTTTCACGATCACCAACGGAGGTGCTCCTCCTGTGCCAATGTGCTCTGCTTGCCGGTGCGCTCTGAATGCCCCCGAACCAAACTCCAACCTGGCCCGCAGAATCCGCCAATAGGCCCTGCAGCCCCATAGTATAGGGGGTCGGAAGAAATCAGGGCCCCTATATAACTATACGAGAAGAACCCCCAAAACCCTATTCTAATTCTTAAGACCCCGAAATTCGATGCTCTGACGCCTGATCCAGCTTCTGGCTCGCAGCACTGACACGCCATGCACCATGTGGGCAAAGATTCACATCCGTAAAGATTTTTTTGGGGTTCTGTTACAGGGCTCCCTGCGGGTGCAGTGAACCGCTGCGGGAGGCCGCCGCACAACCCCGTGCCTCCTGCCAATGGCAGTTCGTAAGGGCATCGTCTCCGTTGCGGGTCAGGAGGTGAAAGTGATGCCTGGCTCAGATTTCCTCAGCAACAACTTTGAAGTCCTTAAAGCCGGCACAAGGGGGCGCAAGGGGTTTGTCCCCGGAAGAGGAACTTTAGCCGGATGGCTGGCTCCAAAGTGGAAGTGGTAGATGTGCGAGAGCGAAAGACTCAAGGTTTCGCTTCAGCCGTTGCGTTTTGTGGTTTTGGTTCTTCACTTGTGTGTGCGTGTGTCTCTCCCTCTCTCTATGTCTCTCCCTCTCGCGGTCTTTTTCGCTTCGTTGCGGGGGGGAGAGGTTGGGGTCGAGGCCTCAAGGCCTAGGCCTAGGCCTTTGAACCAGCATTGGCAAGATGAATTGACTCTGCCTTAGCAGTGCCCTCCGACAACACTAAAAGACTAAAAACTAGACTTCCGAATCCTTAGATCCTCTACTCTACTTCTCCCAGGGCACTCAACCCTGAACCACCCTTGGCCCCTCAGCTCCCTAAGCCCCACTGAGCCAAACCCGAAGCTCTAGACCAGAGACCCTAAACCCTAGACCCGAAACGCTGCAGCTGAGGAAGAATGGTTTCTTGGACGACTTGCCGCTCGGGCGTTGGCGAGAGCTCTTGAGAGTTTCGGGCGCAGGTTCAGGATTTAGGGTTTAGAGGTTACGCTTTAGGGGCTGGCCTGCCCTCCAGGCAAGGCATAGGCCCAGCTACCATGTGTAAACCGAAGCCCCACTCACTCGGCACGGGCCATTCGAGTGTCCCAACTGACCGAGTGAATGAAGTGCCCCCAGTGACCCAACCCGAGTGTTCCCAGCGCTGAACACAGCGTGCGACCGAGTGACCTAAGTGTCGCAAGTAACCCAGTACTCCAAATAACCCACGTCTTCCGAGTCCTTCCAAATGTTTCACGTGTTTCAAAGTCTGACCCCAAGCGACCCAAGTGTCCCAAGTGCCCCAAGCGACCCATGTGACACAACTCATGAGCGGCTTCAGTGGAGAGTTTTTCAAGATCACCTTGCATCAAGAGTACATGTTGCATTGGAAAAAAAGAAAAGAAGACCCCATATAACTCCAGGAGAGTAAGAAGTGGGGCGGTCTTGGGGTGGGTAGGTCTGCAGACTCCTGCGCGTTCCCAAAGCGCGCCTCCGTTTGCCACGCCCATCGCCCCTAATCCGAAACCCTAAGCCCTAGACCCTAAACCCTAAACCCTAAACCCTAAAACCCTGAACCCTAAACCCTAAACCCTAGACCCTAAACCCTACACCCTAAAACCCTGGGCTGTGCCGGCTGAGGTTGGAGGACAGCTCGCCTGAGTCCACTCAAGTGGCCCTGGCCTTGGATGGAGGGGCTTGGTTTAGGGTTTAGGGTTTAGGGTTTAGGGTTTAGGGTTTAGGGTTTAGGGTTTGGGGTTTGGGGTTTGGGGTTTGGGGTTTGGGGTTTGGGGTTTGGGGTTCGGTTTTTTTTTGGTTTTGGGTTTTTTTGGTTTTGTTTTTTTTGGTTTCGGGTTTAGGGCTTAGGGTTTAGAGCGGAGCCAAGAGAAGCAGGCAGATATTCCGCAAACCGCGGACCTGAACCCGTCAGCCCCGCTCCACCCTCCACCCTCTACCCTTTTACCCTACTGTTTGTCAAAAGCAGAGCGCGACACTCTCACAAGAGCTCGGACTTGAAGGAAGAATCCTTGGTTTAGGGTTTAGGGTTTAGGGTTTAGGGTTCCTGGTTCCTGCGGCCAAAAAAAGCCAGACCCCTAAACTCCTCGAGCCAACTCGTGGGCTCCCAAATAGGGTTGAGGGTTTAGGGCATAGCCTCCCTGACCGAGGGGGGGGGGGGTATTGCTAAACCCTAAACCCTAAACCCAAAACCCAAAACCCTAAACCCAAAACTCTAAACCCTAAACCCTAATCCCTAAACCCTAGACCCTACATCCTAAACCCTAAACCCTAAACCCTAAACCCTAAGCCCTAGAATCAGTTGAGACCCAGGTCATCGAGCGATCTACGTGCCCCGTCTTTACACGAAAGGAGGCCAGGCCATGGCAGAGGGAACTACACCCTGAACCCTAAACCCTTAGGGTTTAGGGTTTAGGGTTTAGGTTTTAGGGTTTAGGGTTTAGGGTTGAGGGTTCAGGGTTCAGGGTTTAGGGTTAGGGTTTAGGGTCTGGGGGGTTTCCCAAACCCTCACTCCCAAGATCCAAAGCCCTGAGCTCTAAACCCTACACCCCGAATTCTGAAGACCTTGGCCCCTGAGACCCTGTATCTTGGGATCCCGGGACCCCAAGACCCTTAAGTAGCAAACCAGGCCGTAAGACCCAAAGCTCTTCCCCTCGAGACTGCTCACGATCTCAGACCCTAAGAAACCCTCAGCTCAACATCCCTCAAACCCAAAACCCTTAACCCGAAACCCTAAACCGCAAACCCTACACCCTAAACCCTAAACCCTAAACCCCTAAACCCCTAAACCCCTAAACCCTAAACCCTAAACCCTAATCCCTAAACTCTAAACCTCCACCTTGGCAAGGGGTCGTTCCAGACCTCCTTCGGCGACGCTCCCCTCCCGGAACTCTTTGAGCCGATGCAAGCCGCTGGCCCGACATTTGAGGTACTACAGTAGGGTTTAGGGTTTAGGGTTTAGGGTTTAGGGTTTAGGGTTTATTAGGTACTACTACTGTTGCTATTACTGGTTCATGTACAAATATACTTATTATTACTTTCAGTCTGACTACGACGCTATGACGATTACGATTACCCGTACTTGTACTATTGCTATCACTATTACTTGTACTATTGCCATTACTGTTATTTCTGCTGCTAGTACTAAAAACTACTGTTACTATGAATATTTTTAATGGTTTATGATTATGATAAGTTGTTGGTATGGCTATTATTCTTGTTATTGTCATTTTTTGTGTTTTTGGGGTTGGAGTCCCATCATTCGTTTTTTTCAGGGTCTTGGGCTTACAGTTCGGGGTAGGGGCTTTGGGGTTTAGGGTTTTTCGTGGGGAAGGGGGGGGGTAAAGTTAAGGGTTGGGGGGTTTTAGGGGGGTTTGGGGGGTTTAGGGGGTTGAGGGTTTGGGGGCTTCGGGCTATACCGTTTGTGGAAGCTTTAGGGTTTAAGGCTTTCCGACATGTGAGGGGCGCTTGGGGCTTTTTAGGCTTTGGGGTCTTTTGGGGGTTTTACTGTTTGGGGACCTTCCGGGCGCTGGGGTTTGGTGACTTTGTTGCCTGCTCTTTGCGGGCATTGAGGGGGATTTACATAGGGCTTTAAAGGCTCGAGGGGTTGTTTACAGCTTTGGGCTCAGTGCAATTGGACCTTTCCAGATGCCCATGTCTGGTGTGGGTGGTTCGGGATATAACCCTCAGCCCCAATCCTCATAGAAGGGCCCTCTGAACCCTAAACCCTAACCCCAAAAAACTAGAACCTAACCGGGCCTAAACCTTAAACCCCCTCACAAACTGGGGCTACAGCAAGTCTAGGCCCTTCTTGAAGTTTCATTTCTTATACTTTTACTTTATACCCAAACCGGCTCCTCAGACACGAATCAAGCCTCTCTCACAATTTATTCGTGATTGTCTAGGTACCCTGAATCCTGAACCCTGAACCCTGAACCCTGAACCCTAAACCCTAAACCGCAAAGTGTCGAGAAATGTTGGTGGCTGAGAGTTGGGGCTCTGGCTTTAGCAGTAAGAACCCTTCGCAGGCTCCATGGCCCTCAGAGATGACGACGATGGACTGTCTCTGAATGCCTTTCGGGTTAGGGCTTAGGGCTTAGGGCTTAGGGTTTAGGGTTTAGGGTTTGGGGTTTAGGGTTTAGGGTTTAGGGTTTAGGGCTGTGCACGAACCTTCTTGGAGGACAGCTTCTCGGGCAACGGCCACGGCTGCGATCGCCTCTCGTGGTCCTCGATGGCCAGCGGATATGAGCCGGTGGGGGCTCCCAAAAGCTCAGGGTTTAGGGTTTAGGGTTTAGGGTTTAGAGCGGGAGCTTTTGCGTCAACTTTTTGGGGGGTTGGGTGTTCTCATAAAGGAGAAGATGGCGGCCTGGGGGCTTTAGGCTTTGGGGAGTCTCGGGAATCAGGTGGTTTCAGGGGCTTCGGACCTAGGAGATAGGTTTCAGGTCTTCTTGTTTTGGTGCTGGGCCCTTGCTTTCTGGTCCTGCTTCAGAGGGTCGGGGCGGGAGGGTGGGACGTGAGAAGAGGGGTCTTGTGCCCTAAGCCCTCAGGCCCTCAACCCTTCAATCCCTCAAGTCCCCAAACCCCGAATCCCTCAACCTTCCCCCAACCCCCCGAAAGTCCTGAAACCCCCCCGAAATCCCGACACCCCACAGCACCTGTCAGCTTCGGAAGCCTCAGGACATGCCTCTCAAAGTGATCTCGCGAGATGTGCCCGCTCAAGCACCGCCACCGATGCTGACGCGGCTTGGGCTGGTGACGGCTGGTGACTGGTGCTTAGGGATAAGGACTTGTGGGTTTAGGTTGGGATGTTTAGGTTGGGATGTTCCCCCTTCTACTGGCAGTCCTTAATAGGATTCTCGTACCCCCCTAGTAAAACTCCCTATTAAGGACAAGGGGGAACATCCCAACCCAAACTCCTTAAACCCTCCAAAAACAAACCCTACACCCTGAGCAACAAAGACCAAGAAGTGCCATCTCTCAGCCCCTCCACGCCCAACCCAAGCCCAGCAACTCTGCAGGCCGCACCCTGTACCGTCGAAGCCCAAATGACCGCTGTTTTTGCCACTCATCAAGACTAACCCTGAACCCTAAACCCTCAACCCCCAACCCCCCCAAACCCTACACCCCACAAACCCCAGAAACACTGTAAACCCTGTAAGCCCTAGAAGCGCCAACACCCTAAACCCTAAACCCTAAAACCCCCAAACCCCCAAACCCCAAACCCCCCAAACCCCCAAAACCCCCAAACCCCAAACCCCCAAACCCCAAAACCCCCAAAACCCCCAAACCCCCAAACCTCAAAACCCCAAACTGCAAAAGGCCCCCGGTGCGCCGGGCCAGTCCAGCGGCCCTACTCCCCGCGCCCTCCGTTGGCTCGCAACGCCACGGAAGCGTCCCGGCTGCTTTAGCTTTTGGGGGGGGGGGGGTGTGTTGGGGTTGGGGGTTGGGGTTGGGGTTTAGGGTTTAGGCTTAGGGCGGAGACAGGGCTCATTTTGTAGCGTTTGGTGGTTGATGAAGGGTTTGGGTGTAGAGAGGGTCGGGGGTTTATCGCGGTTTGCTGTTTGGGGTCGTTGACCCAAACTCTAAGACTCTAAGCTCTAAGCCCTAAGCCCTAAGGAACAATCGCGAAATTCTAGTTCACCGAGGGTTAAGGGATGAGAAGTTCAGGACTTCGGGCTTTTGATGCGGGAGCTAGGCTATGGGTTCCTGGTGTCAGGTTTTGGCATTGGAGTTCTTGGGTCTGCACGAATAGTCTTCCAACCCTTCAACTTTAAACCTTAAACCCTGGACACCTCGCCCCCGACGACCCCAATCCTTCATGAAGACATCGAAGTTCATGGAGGTGTCCCTGTCCTCTTCCCTTCCACCAAGGTATTCCAGGCGGAGCCCTCAACTCCAAACCCGCCCCACCCACCCCCCCCCCCCCCTGCGCCCCTGTAATCCCCTGTGTCAGCAGGCCTAAACTCAAAACCCTCAACCCTGAACCCTAAAGCCTTAAAACCCTAAAGCCCTGAAACCCTAAAACCCGAAAACCCTAAAACCCTAAAACCCTAAAACCCTAAATCAAACAAAAAGCCTCCAAGAAGCAGCCAGGACCAGAGACGACATGCAACCTGGAAAGCAGGGGCTTCTGGATTTAGGTCTTTCGCTTCCTTTCTGGCCTTGGTGTAGGGTTTGGGGTCTAGGGTTTAGGGCTGAGGGTGTTCCACTTGGTTCTTCCTCTTCCGCACTTCTTACTTGTGAGCGAGGAGCAGAGAAGAGGGTTCAGAAGCAGAGCATAGGAAGGGAGAGAGATGATTGCAGGAGGGAAGATGTCTCCTGCTTCCTCTCTATACATGTTTCCTCCATTTTCTCTCTTCCTCCCTACTCTCTTCTGTTTTCTGATTCTTTTTGGAATAGAGGCCTGCTCCCCATGAAAATCAAGATGACCTATCCCGCATTCTTACTTCCTCGTGTTCTTGTGGCTAAATTTCGTCCCCTTCCGTGGAGGAAACATGAAGAGTAACAGGAAAAGGAAACGTTATTCGATGAATATGCTACAATGATTGAGAAAATATTGTAAACTCGAGAGAGAGAGAGGGAGAGAGATAAAGAGCGAGAGAGTGCGAGAGGCCTTGTGAAACAAAATCTGTTCATGCAATAGCAGAAGTCTCACAAGCACAGCGCTGTACAAAGGAAATTCACCAGCCGCAAAAATCCCTACATCCAAAGCCCTAAGCTTTAAACCGTAAACCCTAGACTGCACACCTCAAACCCGAGACTCGACTCTGACATGCGACCGGAATGCTGTAATTGATCGGTTGTTAGTAGCTTTTGAAAGACAGACCCTCACATTAGACCCAATGGTCCACGGGCCTCTCTAACAATAACAAGACCCTCACCTCTGAGCCCGCCTATGCGCTCCTTGAAAACGAGGCACTCCGTGCCCTTTCTTTTGGCAGCCCTCCGGGTGTGTGGAGGGGCGCTCTTGTCTGTTCTGCCACCCGGCGCGTTGAGGGGGCGTATATGCTGGGAGTTCGTGCTTCAGCGATGGAGTTGTTTTTGAAGTCTTGGGCAGGGGTTAAGAATTCAAGGAGTGAACTTTCCTGGGGTGCGAAGAAGTTCATAGTGGGTTGGGATGTTCCCCCTTTACACTAGCAGCCCTTAGCGGGTACTATAATCCCTATTCAGGACTGTGGGTACAAGGGGGAACATCCCAAGTGGTGCGTGTTGGAGAGAGCGTCGCAGGCTTAAGAGCTTGGGGCACCTAGCTCATTGGCTGTTTAATTGCCCTGAACCCTAAACTTGCATTCTGATAACCCCAAGCCTCTTCCCCTTGAGTTTATGTATTGTTTTTTAGATTTTTTTGTGGGTTCTTTCTTTGTTCCTGTCTACGAGTGCGTAGACAGCCCAGGCAAACCCCTCAAAATTCGGGTACTGGGCCCTTTTGCCTCGGCGAATGAGCTGCCCTGAGCCCGAAACCCGAAACCCGAAACATTCCTAAACCCTAAACCTTCACAGCACTTTCAGGCCACCTCTGTCCGGATCCAACCATCAAGCAGAAGAAGCACCCCAAGAAGACGGTGCAGGGCGATGAGCCCACGGTAACTTTTACAGGAGTGGGGTTTAGGGTTTGGGGTTTAGGGTTTGGGGTTAAGGGTTTAGGGGTTCAGGCATCAGGGTTGAGAGCAGTCAAGTGCAAAGTTACTCGAAAACCTGGAAAAGAATGACAACAATAGAGCAGGATATTGCAAAAGGCAAGAGCAAACACACGACTAGAAGCAAGCGGGAAGATCCTTGCAAACACATAAGGAGAATGACAGTAGTGGCAGTGATATTCGCAGCAAGAATGAAGCAGTGGTGATAGCAGCGTGAAGAGTAACACACGTTGCAAGCAGAACATAAAGGCGTATGACAGAAGTAGGAGGAGGAGAGGAATCCCTGCTTAGCCCCGAAACCCTAAACCCCTTAAACCCAAACTTTGTGGATTGTGTATCCCTTTCACGACACTCTCAGCTCTTGGTGTGAAATTCATGGGGCTTAGGGTTCAGAGTCAGGGTTAGGGGGTTGGACCCCGAGGGAAAATCGAGCGCGGGAGCGGGTGCCGCTGCGCAGTCAAAGCAGTGCATGTGAATCCTACACCTTTCACAAGACTCCTAAAACCCGAAGCCCTAAACCCTAAACCCGAAACCCTAAGCCCCCTTGAGGAGAGGCGCCGATGACCCACATCCCAATCCCGGAGGCTGCGTATGCGTGGGTTCTCTGAAGCAGGGGCCCTTTTTCGGGGCAGAAGGTTTAATTGGTGTTTGGGGTTTACCTTTTTTGGAGGCGCTTGTGCACTTGTGCCTGGGACGTGGCATATTTTCCCGTGTTGGGTCAGAGAGGATCTGGCCCCTTCCCAGTGGTGTTCGGATTCGGGGTCTCAGGGGCCACTGCAGTTCAAGAGTTCAAGTTTCATTGAACTAGCTTGGAGAAGGTTTGAGGGTTTAGGTTTAGGGTTTAGGGTTTAGGGTTTAGGGTTTAGGGTTTAGGGTCTAGGGTCTAGGGTTGAGGGTTTAGGGCAAAACCCTGAACTAGCTTGGAGAACCCTCGGCAAGGCAACCAAAGTCCCCATCGTCGAGGGCTACGCGCAATACATCGGTGCAGCCCAACCCCCAGGCGGATGATCTGGGCGCATTGACTGTCTCTTCCATCAAAGGAGTGAACCCCGAAACCCTACTCCCTAAACCCTAAACCCTAAACCCTAAACCCTAAACCCTAAACCCTAAACCCTAAACCCTAAACCCTAAACCCTGGGTTTGGTTGGGCCGCCCAGGCTGCGCTTTCTGCACTCTAGACCTAAAGCCCTAACGCCTGCGGCTGCCGAAGCTTCCATCCAAAAGTCCGTCTGTGTTTGGAGTCTTTAGGGTATAGGCTTTAGGGTTAGGGTCTAGGGTTTGGGGTTTAGGGTGTAGGATTTAGGGTTTAGGGTTTATGGTTCAGGGTTTAGGGTTCGGGGTTTAGGGTTTAGGGTTTAGGGCTTAGGCCACGTGATGTGTTTTGAGAGTTTGGCTTGGGGCCTTGGGGGTCCCCTGCGTTATCCCTCATCCGCAGGCGCAAGCACGACACCGGAGCAACATCAGAAGGCACAGCCCCCGCAGTCGGATTGTACCGTTTTTGTTTCTGGGGGTTTACGAAAGTAGGGGATCCCTAAAATGAACCCCAAATAGTAGGGTTTCCCGTATAATGAGTACCCCAAGAAGGGTACCCCCCAATTTCAGGACTACCTTTTGTGACTTCGATCTCACAACTATTCCTAGGGCCTAGGCGCCTTATTGTCTGGACGACAAGTGCTTTTAAATTTCGCCCTACGCCCTAAACCCTAAACCCTAAACTTTAAACCCCAAACCCCAAACCCCAAACCCCAAACCCTAAACCCTAAACCCGAGACCCTGACACCCAGGTTCTTGAGATGCAGCAGAAGCTTTGCCCGAGCATTTTTGAAGATCATGCAGCCGGGCAGTGCGCCTCAGCGAACGAATCGGCGCTTTAGGAGAGAGGGTTTAGGGTGGGTTTAGGGTTTAGGGTTTAGGGTTTAGGGTTTAGGGTTTAGGGTTTAGGGCTATTTTCTACATGTATAAGCAAGGCAATTAGCACTTCTGGCACGTTACGCGGCACTGTACTATTTGGGCAGCCCAACCAGTTCTTCGGAGCGGGTTGTTCTAGAATGGGGCCCCGTGTATACGAGGAATTGCTGATCAACCGGCTTCCCAAGAAAGGGGCCCTAGTCCCCCCCCGCCCCCCGCCCCACACACAAAACAATTCAGCACGAAAAAACAAACAAGCTGCCCCAGAACCCTGTAACCCCGGTACCCTGCTACACCCTAAACCCTGAACCCTAAACCCTCAACCCTAATCACTCTACTTCGCCCCCTGGCTGCGCCCTGAACCCCAAACCCGAAACCCGAAAACCTTCATCAAACCTAAGGCAAACCATGCACTTTCTTCTGGAAGCCGGAAGGATGCACCTGGGGCTGCAATCCTTAAAGCCGTGCTTAGGGTGTCTGGGTTTAGGGCTTAGGATTCGGGGTTTAGGGTTTAGGGTTAGTAAACCCTAAGGCGCGCAAAACCCTGTTCCCTGAATCCCCAGCCCCAAAACCTGAACCCTCAACCCCAGGGGCCTTAGCATGCAATTCCCGGATGTCAGCTGTTGCAAATATGAAGCCCCCCCCCCCCCCCTCCCGGTCCAACGCATTTCCGCCAGCAGGGGTACCCTGAATGTACCCCAACATAGCCGTTGCAAGTGGGGGGGCCTATGCAGAGCCGATTCCAGAGCAACAAGCCCTAAACCCTAAACCCTAAACCTAAACACCCCGAACCCTAAACCCTTATGCCAGAAAATGGGGAGCAGGGCGGTGGAGTGGGGTGGGGGACAAGGTGGCAGTTTGCTTTAAACCGCGTACAGGCCCTGGAGCCGTCTCGCACGCCTCGTAGTTTTTTGTGGAAATCAGACAAACGTTTAGGGTTTAGGGTTTAGGGTAAACCCATGGACGTTCTCAAAGCCCTGAAGTTCCTAAAGGCTTCCTCCCTCAAGACCCTCTAACCCCTGAAGCCCCGATCGCTCCTCCTGCACCTTCCTGGCGCTGCACAGGCCGAAAGTCCGAGGCGCCGATCTTGTGCCCCTACAGAGGGTTTAGGGTTTAGGGTTATGGGTTTTTAGGGTCAAGGGTTTAGGGTTTAGGGTTGTGGGTTTGAGGGTCAAGGGTTTAAGGGTTTGGTTTGGGGGTTTAAGGGTTTAGGGTTATGGGTTTTAGGGTCAAGGGTTTGGTTCGGCTTAGGGGTTTAAGGGTTTAAGGGTTTAAGGGTTTAAGGGTTTAAGGGTTTAAGGGGTTTAAGGGTTTAAGGGTTTAAGGGGTCAAGGGGTTTAAGGGTTTAAGGGTCCCCACAAGTTAGCTTTCACCAGGATTTGGGGTTCGAAGGTTTGGGCCCTCAACCCCCAAGCCAGCCAAGCCCCAAACCTTTCGTTACGTGGAGAGAATCGGGCATTAGTGGATCACGGTTTCATTCAAGGATGCTCTTGATACTACTGTCTCTAATTTTGCCATTCTGGGAGCATAGGAAGCACTGGTAGGCCTTGAGAAGAGTTCACGGGGAACTGTAACCCCAAGCTCGGAACCCCGGCTCCGAACCCCAAAGCCCAGAACCTTAACCCCTAAGTCCCTAAACCCTATCCTAAACCGGAAACCCCAAGCCCTGCCACGGTCGGAGGCCTGTCACCATTGCCACCTTTGCCCTCCCAGTGCTCTGAAAGACCGCACTTCGCCAAATATCTGCCGGTTTTGAGGTTTAGGGCGTGTGTGCTTGGTGTATACAAATAAAGGAATAAATGCATAAACATATACATATATACTTATATATATATATATATATATATATTGACCCGGGAAACTGGGTCCCCTTTTCCGGAGGCGAAGACGAAATTCGAAGACGAAATTTGAAGACGAAATTCTGCCCAGCCGAAATTAGGCCCTGAAGACGAAATTCGGCACTTGAAGACGAAATTCGGCCCCTGAAGCCTAAATTCGGCCCTGAAGCCTAAATTGGACTCTTGAAGCCGAAATTCGGCCCCGAAGACGAAATTCGGCCCCGAAGACGAAATTCGGCCCCGAAGACGAAATTCGGCCCTGAAGCCGAAATTCGGCTCCTGAAGACGAAATTCGGCCCGGAAGCCTAAATTCAGCCCTGAAGACGAAATTCGGCCCTGAAGCCGTAAGTATATATATGATATGAATATATGTACATATATATACATATATACATATATATATATATGTATAGATATATCCATACATACATACATGCATGCATGCATGCATGCATACATACATACACACACACAGATATATATATATATATACATATATATATATATATGTCGTTTCCTCATGTTTTGACCTAAGAAAGGTTTAGTGTTTAAGATTTCGAGTGTAGGGTTTGGTGTGATCTGGCGCGGAAGCTGTGATGGTTGTGATGCAGACTACCTTCGAAAGCCTCGTAGCATTCGAACGGCGCTGGCATTTTGGGGGGAGTGCCCCAGGACCCCTAAGCCATCGAAAACTCCCCGCTCCTAGCCTCTCAAGTCTCTTGAAGCCCCAAAATCTGGAAATTCATAGGGTCACTTCTGCCATCAACATCTGTGTATATTTATTACCAGTTGCTGGAATCGGCAAGTTTAGGGTTATTGAGTGGATAGAGAACAAACACCTGCTTGACTCCCCCGATACGGCCCCTTAAGGGATTACATGGGGGAAGCATCATTCAGCAACCCGAAACCCAAGCTCCCAGGAAAGATTCAGAAAGTCATGGCTCGGCGACAAGAGAAAGCGAGTGCCGCAGCAGCAAGGGGTCAGGGTCTAGGGCTGAGGGCTTAGGCTCTGGCATCAGGTACCTTGTGTCCATCCCCCAATATTTCAGGGGATGGTATAGGGCACCGTGCTTATTCCCAAGTACCCTACCAAGAGCAAGCACGTCACAGTGTCCACACAAGACACTTGACTTGCTGGGCCTCATGGCCGTCAGGTCTTCGTCATTCGGCCCCTCTAAAACCCTCAAGCCCTCAAACCCTCAAATCATGAACCCTCAACCCTTAAACCCTAAACCCCAAACCCTGAACCCCCAAAACCCCTACATCCTCCAAAACCTGAAGCCCTTAAAACCCACAAGCCCTCCAAGAGTCTGAAGGGCCTTGTGCAGGACTAAAAGCCCCTAAAAGCCCTAAAAACCCCTAGAATCCGAAGCTTTGAAGGCCCTAAACCCTAAGCCCTTCTCTCCAGGCAAGGGTACACCGAAGACTCCCGAAGCACCGCCTGCAACGGGCGCGCCCGTGCCAGCAGGCCTCCCACTTTTTTGGCCGGTTTGGGGCTTCATTTGGGATGTCCCCCCCTTATACTAACAGCCGTTAACAGGGATTCTAATTAGGGTACTAGAATGCCTATTCAGGGCTGTTCGTAGAAGGGGGAACGTCCCAAACCCTAAACCCGAACCCCTCAACCAACACTAAACCCTACTGTAAACGCTTCACCCTATAAGTTGGGATGTTCCCCCTTATACTAACAGTCCTTAATAGGGGTTATAATAGGCGGTACTATATAGTCCCTGTTTAGGACTGTTGTATAGGAGGGAACATCCCAACCTATAAGCCCCTCCCCCCACAAATGGACCTTAGCTACAATTTCCAAACGCACCCGTATGGTATCCTTCAGCAGAAGCTCGTGGACCCATCTGCCTACCCAAAGTTCCCAATGGAGGCAACATGGCTTCGCTCCCAAGGGATTGGGAAGAAGCACCCTTAACCCTAAACCCTAAACCCTTAATCCCGAAACCCTAAACCCTTAAACCCTCAAAACCCTAGACCCTGAACCCCTCCTGGAGGTGTACGAAGCACCCTGGAACAAGTAAGGGCAGCTACTTTTCGGTCTTACGTTGATAGGCCGAGGAAGGATTGTTTAGCTATGCATCACTTTCAACATCCCTTTTCCCTAAATGCTAAACCCCGTTACCCCCTAAACCCTAAGCCCTACAATTCATCTCTGCAACTCTACAGGCCCTGAACACCTGGAGCCACCCAAATCCGAAAGTCGTGCGATCTCCTTCGTATCAGGATAGGCAGGAATTAGGTACCTTATGTCCCTTATGCAACCATGTTGTCATGTAACCCCTTAAGGAAATATCTAGGGTTCCTGATTCCCAACTCCGGGCTACGAACCAGTAAGCAACACCTGCCCAAGACAGTGGGAGGCCTTGTCTATCTATGAGCGACAAGGGCCGCCGGCCCCATTTTTACACCATTCAGCAGGCGCGCTCCAAACTCTAAACCCTATAGGCCCTAAACACGATTCATCTCTCATGCGGGATTTGGGATCTATGCTTGAGAGCATTTCGTAGACTCCCAACCCCAGGATCCGCACAGCCACCGGATGTTGGGATTTTGGGATTGCCGGCTTTTGTTTTCCGATGGTTTTGAGGTGGCGGAAGGCTAGGGCGACTCGTGTCTAATTGGTTCAGCGCTTTCCTGATTTTGCAATGGATGACTGGTGTGGAGTGTTGGCAGAGCTGCAGACACCCCTAGACGCCGCAACTTCCACAGAGTTTACAGAGTAATAGTCGGAATATCGGCTTCTGTGGGCAGATACAAAAAATAGGCAACATGAATGTATACATATGCACGTACTTGCGTATCTATGTTTTGGTATTGATGTCCCGTATTGTCCAAGTAGGAACCCTGGTTTTACATCATTTTGGGGAGTTGAGGGATAAGGGGCTTCCGCGTCACGCGGCTTGTGCGGGGCAGGACCCACAAAATCCTTAGACGCACCAGACCATCCCCCACACTAAATGCCAGGTTTTACACCGACACAACACACCAAAGTCACATGCTGTGCAACTTAGAATTGGCCTGTTGCTCTCGCACTTTGAGCTCCAGTTCCCCCGCGCAGCGCCAGGATCAGGGTGCTGAAGATATTGCACCCTGCACCCAAGCCCAGCACTTGCTGTTCTTTGTTGGTGCAGAAAGGGCTCTATGTAGCGAGGGCTTCTGTTTTGCAAGGTTTTTTTGACCCCAAGACCCTAAACCCCGAGAGCCCGCCGGCCTGTCGCCAGGGGCACCAGCAGCTCGCTGATGCCTTGACGACCTGGGACCAGTTGGGCCTTCCCTGCTTTTATAGGGTTCTTAAAGAAAGGATTTCAAGGAGGGCCGGGTATGTAACCCAAGGTCCCCTAAGACTCCCTACCTCCCATGAACCCCCCTCCCTTAAGAACCCTATATCATGCTTGACAGTCACGGTTTTGCATTTAGGGCTTCGGGCTAGAGACAGGGTGTGCGATTCCCCTTAACAAGTACACTGCGTAATGGTTCCTTTCCGGGGCATGGCTTGTTTCTGTCCCCAAATCCCAGTCAAGCGCCGCCGTCTAAACCCCCCCAACAACCGGTTGTTTGCAACTATGCCCTAAACCCGAAACCCTTGAAGTTTTTTGACTGAGATTCAGCAAGTCTTCGCCCCAACAGCCTCCCCGGCCACCGAAAGCACTGCCAGGTGCGCGTGGGCCAAAGCTCATGAGAGAGAACGGCCTATGTCCCTCCATGTGTTGGCGCGTGCTCGCCTCCTTGCCGCGTGAAGCATGAAGCTTCGCGCGCGCCCTTTCCAAAGTGACAGGTGCTGAGTGGGAGAAGCTCAGGATTTACCTGGGAGTTTCGAGGGCTTACAGTACACACTGACAGCTAGATGCAAGCTCTTGGGAGCGAAGTCCGACACTCCGCCAATCAGCCACCTGTTGCGGACTTTGATTCCCGTCGACAAGCCGTTTTTTGCGGGCGCCTGGAGCGCTGTGCAACTCCTGGCTCACATAGCTGCCCTTCTCGCGACGTTGCCATTCAACAGCACATCCTAGCTAAAGTAGGAGCGGGCATCGGGTTTGGGAGTTTTTAGAGTTGAGGCCATACAAGCCCAAGCTGAAAGCTTCTCATGCCAAGGGGGTTGATCTTAGGGTTCAAAGGTTTTTTAGCTGGCCGCGACCCCTAAACCACATGCACCCCTAAACCCCTCTGCCTCAACCCGGACCCCCAAGCCCTTATCAGCCCTAGCCGGCCTAGCCTGTGGCTGTAAACCTTAACCCCTTAGCCCTTCTGCCTTACCAGCCCCATGCTTGCAGCTTGGCTTGACACAGCCATTCTAACACTGCGGAGGCACTGTGAGAGGAGGACAGCCTAATATCTTATATATAGTGCCGAAGAACACTATGTCATTGTGTCGAAACCTGCTAGCAAGGCTCTCTCTGAGTCATTGGGACCTCTGGACATCTAGGGCCCCAGACCCAAACCTTCGGATCCTCCGGCCCAAACTGGAGTGCTACCTGGGCCTTCTGGTTCCTCCCAGATTGACTTCTCAAGCAGTGCCACGAGCTAGACCATAGTGCAAGGCTATGCTTAGTAAGCTGTGTACCTTATTCCCTTAAACCCTACACCCTAAGCCAAAACGCAGGAGGGCTGAGGAATCGGGGCCCTTGTAGCCGAAGCTCCATGCCTTCAAAGAATCTGGTTCTGTGTCTTCCAGATCGCCCCAGGTCCCTAAACCCTAAACCCTAAACTCTAACGCTACACCCTAAACCCTAAACCCTAAACCCTAAGCCCTAAACCCTAAACCCTAAACCCTAAACCCTAAACCCTAAACCCCAAGCCCTAAACCCTAAACCCTAAACCCCAAACCCCAGGTCCTGTGACTTAGCTTTAAAGCAGAGAGTCTGGGCCGCCGCAGCAGCGGCCTGCGGCGTGTGACAGGCGGGCGCTCCCTCTTCCAGTCATGTAAGCATCCTTTCACTTCAGCCTTCTTGGGGTGGGGTGGGGTTTAGGGTTTAGGGTTTAGGGTTTAGGGTTTAGGGTTTAGGGTTTGGGGTTTAGGGTTTAGGGTTTAGGGTTTAGGGTTTAGGGTACGCACTGCTAGGCTTCAGCTAGTCTAGGTGGTTTTCCTTCTGCAGGGGCACCTGAGTCGGCTTGGGGTTCAGGGTTTAGGGTTTCGGGTTTCGGGTTTCGGGTTTGGGGTTTGGGGTTTGGGATGTAGGGTTTAGGGTTTAGGGTTTAGGGTTTAAGGTGTAGGGTTTAGGGTTTAGGGCCGCAACTAGGTTTCTACACCTGAACCCTAAGGTTTACCTAAACATTTCTAGGGTCAGGATCCGATCCACTCTAAACCCCTTCAAGCAAGCGAAAAGGGCCTTTCTCGTTCTAGGTTGCAGGGCAACCGAGTCAACACCTCTGGAGATAGCTACCTACTAAACCCTAAACCCTAAACCCTAAACCCTAAACCCTTTTTCGAGCCATCTGGGTAGGGAGCCTGCCCCTTCGGGACGTTTTTTTCTGCGGCATACTGGGCGTTCCATCCCATCCGAAGTCGAGGGACACAGATACAGCGCTGCATGTCATCGCTCCCCCCAACGGCGCGGTTGATGAAACGCCCTCGTTTCAGGGCCCCTTCAGGGCGCTGGAACGTGAAGTTACAGTTGAATGCCGCTTCCCAACGGAGCCGCATCCTCCGACCGACGTTTACGCACAAGCAGCAGCCAAGAGCCTGTTAACGATTCTGGGATGACCAGTATAGTATCCTTAGTCCCTTTTTGGGGGGCTTTAGGTTCCCTCATAAGACGCCTTTAAGCAAGAAAGGGCACCCTTTTTCATCCTAGGTTAGCGGGCAACCTCGGATTCAGGGTTTAGCCGCAAGCCCCACAACCCAAAACTCTAGACTCAAAGCACGAACCCGGGAGGTTAGGCTTCGGGCGAAGACCTGCGCAGGGGCACTCACAAGATGCCCAAACGCCCTAATGCCAATGCTTATCATCAAGGGGCTCGGTCGGTCGAGTATGACTACCATGCAGAAGCTTTAGGCCCCCCAAGTCCTAAACTTAATGTAGGCTGCAGTGAGGTGAGTTTTTGGGGTCGGGATAGTTACACATGGTCTTCCCTTAGGTTCCCTTCATAAATATACGATAGTAAGCCCCAAAACCCTGTTCTACTTATTCAGGCCCTTACGTCAGGTTGAAAAGAGTGGATCGCACCGCAGGGTCCCCCCGAAGATCTATACCCATCTATGCCTCGTTGAGCCCTCCCGAAACCCACACATCGAATCCTTCGAGTTTTTTGCTTGCTTTCCCTGACTCAGAGTCAGCTTTAGAGGATCCGGTATGTTGTGGAGGGTTTAGAGGCCATCCAGGCTAACCCTAAACCCGAAACCCCTGAGCCCCGAAACCCTAAACCCCTAAGCCCCTAAACCCCTCAACCCTAAACCACTAGAATCCTGTTGCGCTTCGGCAACGCTTGGGCCCAGCTGGTGTGGACTTTTCGGGAGCCCCCGGGGTGGAGCTGTCAAAAGTGGCAGCGCTTGTCCCGCTCAGAGGGCTATAAGAGCAGAGGGTGCGGAGCACAAGAGACGAAGAAGCCACAGGCATCGAAAAGCACAGCCCTTCATTGTATACATAAGAGTATACACATAGTATACATAGTATATATACATATATATATATATAGTATATACATATATATATATATAGTATATACGTATATATATATAGTATATATATATACATATATATATATATATATATATGTGTTTTACAGGAGAACAAGATGAAGGGCCCCTTCTAGGGGGCTCTTCTTCTACCCCTGAAATAAGATTTGCCAAGATGATTTCAACCCTTGCGTCCTGCGCTGGCTTCCTCCTGCCCAAGTCCGAGGATGGTTGTGCCGTCCTCGTCCCAGTTTGAAAGGCTGTGAAGGACGTGGAGCTTGCTCCCGACTTCGAACCGGCAGCCTCATAGTCGCATCCTTGGCTTTTCAGAGGGTCTCCGCGCCAAGCTCGGGCCAAGATCCATCGAAGCCCCCTTGTCAGTGATAGCTACACTCCTCGCAGGGGTCTCGTAGTAGCTACCCTGAATTAACCCTAAGCCCTAAGCTCTAAGCTCTAAGCCCTAAGCCCTAAGCCCTTAGCCCTTAGCCCTTAGCCCTTAGCCCTAAGCCCTAACCCTAAACCCTAAACCCCAAACCCTAAACCCTCAGCCCATACAAACTGTAGGTAAAGAGGGTCCCAGGTAGGCCCCAGCCTCGCGACTTGAAGCATTTGACGGAGCAGCTCTGTGAAGCCATCCTTGGCAGGGCGCGGCTGTGCAGACTCAAGGGTTTAGGGTTTAGGGTTTAGGGTTTAGGGTTCAGACGCAGGGGGCCTCGAGAGTTTGAAGAGTTTCAGGGCATGCCAGGGTCTGGGGTAAGAGTTAG